GGCGCCGCTTTGCTGCTTTTCTTGCAAGAGTGCAATAGTAGAAATGTTCTGGAGTTTTGCTATGTCCACACCGGCAGTAGCACTCTGCATCTTCATGCTTAAGGTGGCTGTGGTAGGCTGCAAAGTCTCCATGACCTGATCGGGCGGCATAGAGCTTTCCTAATGTGAAGCGTGAAAGTTTTACCTCTGTTGAGGCTCTCTTTAGTGGGATCTCCAGCTCCATATAGTGTTTGGGCCGATTTTTGGCCCAGTAGTTCTCAAAGGCCCATGTGGTTTGTTCCATAGTGTGTCGCTTTATATAAGCTAGAGTGCCTATGCTGTCAGGTTGAGGTACCATGCTTGCACTTGCTGCCTGCGCTGCGGCTGCTTTGGCTTCAAGATCTGCCTTTTCATTACCAGCCACGCCTGCGTGGCCTGGGACCCATCTAATGACCACCCTGCTCTGGGTGGCCAATGGGAGCCTATCCCTGCTCTGCCAGGCCTTTATGGCTTTCAGAAACTGCGCGAAGACCTGCTGGCTAGAGGTGTTTGGCACGGATCCAAGGGCTCGTGCTACCTCCAAATTGTCTAGGCAAATGTAGACGTTGCTGGCAAACTTCGCCTGAGGCGAGGTGGTGGCTTCCTTTAGGCCCTGCAGGGCTGCCATTGCCTCTGCGTCAAAGACCTCTGCTTTATCCATTGGCAGGTTTCCTGTGGAGATTAGACGGTGTTCGCTACCCCAGCATATAGCCCATCCTGCACCAGTCGCACGCTGAGGGTGCTCTATCTGTGAACCATCGGTAAAGACCACCAGATCCAGGGGATTGCGTTGTTGTAGCCAGCTCTTAAAGTCTTGTGCTGCCTGTTCCTTTGTGCGGCCTGCCACATACCCAATCTGCAGATCTTCTTTCCTGGGAAATCTCATCCAAGGGGGCGTGAGTAGAGGGTCATATGCTTCTATCCCACCAGCATGACTGGACGCTCTAGACAGACGTGTGGTATAGGGTTTGGTGGTAGCTACTTTATTAGAGCGTCTCACTAGCGGGTGCCTCTTGTCAAGCTTTTTGATTCTTACTGCAAATACAGCACGCCGGTTGTCTAGTGTCTCTTTCATTGGCATGATTCCTAGCTCACGGTGTAGAGCTGAAATGGGTGTGGTCTTGTAGACTGGCAGTGCCCCTCGCAAAGCATCTCTAAGGGCTAGATCTAGCTTTCTGACTAGGCAATCCATTCAATTGGAGATTTCCTTTCCCTTCTCCATTCATGTGGCTCCAGGCCACCAGGCCTCTGCTCCATAGCAGAGCACAGAGAGCACACAGGCCTGAATGGATTGTCTAAGCAGTTGTACTGGGGCGCCTCTTGCTGTGTTGCTTAGTGCTCGTATGCCATTAGACACCTGTCGTGCCTTAGCCGCCATGGTCTCCACGTGTTTCTTGAAGCTCAGTTTTCTATCTAGCCAGATTCCTAGATATCTTATGGAGCTTTTCACTGCCTTTGCTGTAATAGAGTGAGTGCCAGATGTAGTTTCAAGGTCGATTGAGGGGTTTGAAAGGGTTCTGCGCCGTGTGAAGTGTGCTATCTCAGTTTTGGCAAAATCAAATGTCAGCCCTTCTTTGCTGGCCCAATCATTTAGCAACTTGAAATCCTCCTGGAGAGTAACAACATTCCCTTCAAGAGTGGTTCCAGCACTAAGCAGTCCTAGATCATCTGCGTAGCCTAAGCGTGCACGTCTTCTTTGTATAGTTCCTAGAAAGAACAGAGGCTGAATAAACAGCATGAATAGAATAGGTGAGACTGGCGAGCCTTGTGGAAGCCCTGCTGGGATATCAAAGAGCTCTCCCAGGAGTCCATCCAATCTGATCCTGCCTGTGCGTCCTGTCATGAAGCTTTCCACCCATCTAATTAAATTTGGTGGCCAGCCTTGTTCTTGCAATCTCCGCAGCATCCTTCCTCTGAGTACAGCATCAAAAGCACCCTTGATGTCCAGAGTAAGAAGAGAGACTACTTTTCCATGGGCCCAGGCTTCCTCTATATCATGAACCATCGCTGCCACTAGGTCTGAGGCAGCCCGCCCAGGGAGGGCTCCAAAATGCTGGGGGTGGACAATCTTCTCTTGTATAGCTGTCCAGGCCATCCTACAGGCTACCAGGCGTTCCAGTCCCTTCCCCAACGTTGAGAGAAGGGCTATAAGCCTGTAGGATCGCGGGAGTGTTGGATCTCTGTTGACCTTAGGCAGCACAACCAGTGTGGCATCTCGAAAGGAGGTTGGGTGCCAGCCAACCCTAAGACAGGCTCTGAACAGCCTTTCCACTGATACCTTAATATGTGGCCATGCCTTTCGTAGCACCTCTGTTGGCACTCCATCAGTTCCTGGAGTGGTATTACCCGTGTTCAGCAGAGAACTTTGTATCTCATGTGCTGAGGCAACAGGAAAAGGTAATTTGACAGATGGTGGGTTGGACCAGCTAATTGGGATATCCTCTCTGCTTGCAGCCTTCTGTAAGAGCACCCGTTGCAGAAGGTCTCTTTTCTCTCTAGGGGTTGTTCGCGTTCGCCCAGTCTCTTCATCTACAAGAGGGGGGGAATGAAAGGAGCCAGTTGAATGGGCCCATTTGATCATCTTAAAGATATCTTTCCCCACTGAGGCCTCTGCTATCTTGCCTCGCCAGTATTCTCTCTTGGCTTTCCTGGTGGTCCTGGCTACGTTGCTTTTTGCTTCTCGTAAAAAACTAGAGCCTAGGCGCTGTGCACGATGTAGTGTTGTCACTGCTTTCTGGCAGTCCTCATTCCACCATGGCTGACCTGTGCCTTGCCCGGTGCTCTTCTTGGTGGAACTTTCCAGGGAAGCTATTAGTGCATCTGTGATACCTTTAGCCAGGGCATCCAGCTGATCTGTATTGGGGTACTCTGGGATATCACATAGTTTGTCTAGTTTTGGCTTATAGGCCTCCAGCGTCTGGTTAAAGACCTTCTCATTCATGGTGTCGAGACGGAAAAAATGGGTTGGCCTGTCAGGCCTTGCGCCCTGTGGAAGGCTGATTTTGGTGAGAAGAGTCTGGTGGTCAGAGGAAGTGTAAAGGGATCTGTCCACCTGTGTGTCCACTCCTTTGATAACTAATTCCGGGGTGGCCCAGGCCAGGTCTATCATGTTATGCCCACGTGTGGGAGTGTCTGGGTCCATGGTGAGAGTAAAGTTGAAATTCATGGTCCATTGCAGGAATGGTTCCGCCCACATGCTTGGAGGCACTCCTGGTTGCCACACGGGGTGCTTGATATTGAGGTCGCCAGCAAGGAGCAACAGGAGTGCTGGGACAGACCAGGAGAGAAGACAGCCCACACCTTGTCCAGGATCCTCTGCGCCTGGGGGTGCATTGTATATGTTGACTGTCTGAAGCTGTAGACCCCAGGCCTGTATGTGCAGCATGTGGATGTCCCGGTTTTCTGCCCAGGGGCCTGGGACTGCATGAGCATGGATTTGTGGGTGTTTACGCACATAGGTGAGGACCCGTGGCTTCCTGTCCCACTTTTCAATTGGGGCAAAGCAGTTGAATGCTGGATGCTTTTTGGAGATGCGTTGGCTTAAGTTCCTGTGAATCCAGGGTTCCTGTATGAGAAGGATGTCAGTCTTTCTTTCAAACGCTAGATTGAGGGCCGTCTCGTGTGCTGGGCCCCCTTTTCCTACGTTGACTTGCATAATCTGCAGGAATTGCGGAGATCTAGAGTTCTTCTTCATTGAGTAGCTGAAAGGAGGGTGTTGTTGCGTGAGATGACGTGTTGGGTGTTGCATTAGATGTTGGGTTGGGCGCCATGCCTAATGCTGTGCCTGATGCTGTGCTCAATGCTGTGCTTGATGCTGTGTTTGATGTTGGTGTGAGGTTAGATCTACGCTCAGTAGAATCATTCAACCTCAGGTCTGCTGATGGCCCTCGACCAGCGCATTTGCTGTTACTTGCCTTGGCCAAGTATGCCTTACTCTGTGCATTGCGGATATCCCTCAGCTGGTTTCTTGAGTGCCTTTGAACAGTCCCATTCTTTATCCCTGGTCTGGCGGGGCAGGATGGATCATCCGCGGCATGTGGTCCAAGACAGTTAGTGCAGCGATTGGGGCATCCACATGCTTCATTCTCCTTATGACAGGATGGATTTCCTTTCACATGATTCTTAGAACTGCATTTTTTGCAGCGAGGGACGCGGAGGCAGTATCTCTCTTGATGAAATCCCCAGCATTTGCTGCATTGTTGTATTTTGACCTTAGGTGCCTTTCTGATCACTGGTCTTTGATATCCATATAGTTCCACTTTTGATGGCAGGTTTACTGCTGTCTCTTGCGAAAAGTGTAATATAAGAGTGGCTGTTGGGTTTCCAGGGTGTATTTTTGCCCAGCGACTCTGGACAGGCTTGATTCTGGTTTGGAGTGTGAATTCTTCTGTCATGGATTCTGCTGAGAGACGCAGAGTTCCACCACCATAGTCACTAATCTCCATGGGCAGCCCAGGAATCAGGCAGGTGATCCAATGTTCTTCCTTCTCTATCTGAGTATTGGTGAGGGTGGCTGCTAAAACATTCTTTTGGGCTAGCAGGGCCTCCATGTCTTGCAAGCTTCTAGGAATGATGGCAATGCCTGTGGGGATGGCTTGAACTGCTGTGATGGCTGCTGCCAAAGGCCCTGGGAGTTCAGCCTTCAGCTTTCTAAGAGTAGCAATTGGGCTTGCTTTGCGAGCTAGATGATCTGAAGGCAGGCGCGCGAGGATTCGTGGTGTTTTTCCTTCTCTGGGGTTATTCCTAAGCAGGGGTTTCTGCAGTATGGTTGCTGGTGTTTTTGTTACATTGGTGCTGTCTGCAGCTGTCTTTGCGTAGGTAGGAGCTCTTGCATCATTTGCACCAGTGGAGCCAGCAGGCTTGATTGTGGTGGACTGCTTAGCTGTTTCTAGACTTCCATTGTACCAGTCCTTGACTAACGCCTTCACAGCGGCTCCAAGGGCCAGTGCCCTTGATAGGCCTTTTGCCTTCATGACATCTAGGTCTTCTTCAATCCGATCAAGCATATTTGCAGCCGCTAGTGCTTCTGCATGGGATTTCTGTGCCTCAGCCTCGTGGGCGGCTAGGAGATCGCTAGCCATCGGGCCACGTAGGTTGAGGTGAATTGGTGCGACATTTCTGCTCTTTGAGCTGCCTGCTGGTGTAGGGGAGCTTGGAGACTCCATGTCATTCAGTTCACATGTGCGGCGGGCGATTGGGGTGAGGAGATGGGGTCTCTTGGGTGGACGGCGTATGGGGGAGCAGATGCGCGTCAAGGCTCGGGACGCGTTCAGTGGTGTTGGGGGGCTGGGCGCGCTGGCGGCGCTGCGTCGGCACGCCATCAGGCTTGCTGCCTGAGGGGATGGGAGAGAGCTTATAGGGATGTGATCAGGATTGATTAAGATGTTTTTGTATAACGATCAGAGAGTTGCGTTGAGCGTCGTAAGGTAGAAGTTTTTGCTTTGAAAATGTGAAGTAGGCGGTGAAGTTGCTTGGAGGTCACATGCCTGGCGCTGCTGAGTCATCCTGGATGGATGTGCCTAAACCAACTCTCTCCGTTTCTCAACCTGCCATCGATATAGACATCTTGTTCGTATGCCTTTTAAAAGCTGAGATTACCTGCGGGACCCATATTTTGTTTATCCAGGCGGTTGGCAGGGGATCCAGAACTACGATTTCTGCTTTTGCCTCTCACATAACCTCCGTCAGAACCCCACGCTTATAACCACCTATAAGCGCCTCATCTGTCGCTCAATTTCAACAGTTAGTCGCTACCTCTTTTTTCACCAAACACACCCTTATCTTCGCGAACTACCTCTATTATACGCTATACGCCCTTTCTCTTGGTTCTAAATATGGCACCACGTGGACGCGGAGGAAAATTTAGCAAACCCACTCGCGGAGGTCTGCATCCGATATCATGATTACCCTGTCATGGCCTGCCAAATAAGATATTGACCGTTTTTCTTAATACATTCAGGAGGCAAACATTTCAGTCGTAATCTCCAACCCCTAGATAAGGATGGGACGCCCCTAGGCATGTGGCGGGTGCGTTTCCCCCCCCCTTTCCTCCGTTGCAAAGTTCATTCTGGTTTCTCTTGAGACCAATGAACCAAATAAGTCTCACCAACGGCATGAGGCTCATCCGTAACGTATTGTGCCAAACTCTCCAGGATCCCAATGATATAGAACCCTCATCAGGGGAAGAGGAATCCGAAGAAGATGAGGATGAGGAATCTGAAGCAGATTCCGGCCCCTCCAAAGAGATGACCCGTGAAGAACGCAAAGCTGCCGCCAAGGCCAGAAAAGAGGCCGCCATCGCCAAAAAGAAAATTGTTTTGCCAGGTGAACTACCCCCTTCCGGAGACGAAGATGAAGATGAAGACATGCCCGCAAATCCCAACCATACTGCCAAATCGCGATCCCAAGCCGCCAAGAGTCCGGCGGAAACTAATGGTGAAGCTGTAACCGCGAAATCTGGGAACGGTCCACTATCTCGTAAGGAGAGGGAGGCAGTTCAGTCACAGCAGGCGCGTGAACGATATATGAAGCTGCACGCGGAAGGCAAGACTGAAGAAGCTCGTGCTGATCTTGCGCGGCTAGCTATTATCAAAGAGCGTCGTGAGGCGGAAAAGGCGCGCAAGGAGGCTGAGAAGGAGGAGCGGGAGGAACGGGAGCGTGAAAAGGCTGAGGCGAAGTCTAGGGAAACTAAAATGCGGGAGGCCGCTCTTGGCCCTGGTGCGAAGGGGAAGAAACTCAGCCCGAAGAAGAAATGATGGTGCTGCGTTTCTCTCTTATCTATCACACTCATCTGCACGCCTCTCCGAGCTCCGAGCAACCAGCACCTTTACTACGAGTCTTGAATCTTCACTTGTTCATCATGCCTCTGCGCCGTTCGGTTTTATTTTCTCATTTTCTTTTCCCCAGCTTCTCAGTTACGTATCACACTGCGAACTACATACCAATGATCTCCCAATTTAACTGCTCCAGAAATCCAGCCTATCATTTCACATCCTTGTGAGGTGTCATTTTGTCTCTCTTTTGGTGGTAATGTCATAGCATTAGTGTCAGGCCTATCCGCCTTCTTATGTAATCCACACTGTATATAACTTCTGCGTAGCTAGTGATCGCTTCATAATCAATCAAGCAATCTATCCTTCACAGGTTATGAGACCTGTTTTGCGCAAATAACTGCCAATTCAGGGAATTCTTGTCAAATATAGCATATATTAATCACTGCTCACTTCATTTAATATAATATTGTCTTATTTTATGTCAATTGATTGATTTGATGCACTTTTATATTATTTTTTTTTTTCTGTGTTCAATCTATTTGCTTAGCAGATGAAAAAAAAAAATCTACAACTTATTAATTTTTCAATGACTGATTGCATAAAAACATGTCAGTCTGCTCAATCAAGCTTATAGACAAGAATCTCACTGAATAAGATTACTCTATTATAAAGAAAATTAATACAATATGGCAGAATATATGATGACTTGCTCACAGTCATAATTGAGTCAATTCAGTTAATCTGATCAATCTGAAAATAATCAGAGAGGTCTAAGCTCATCAACCCCTTCAGAGGCATTCAAGAGTTTCAATATTGAACTCTCTGAAATATTTAATCAGGAAGCTGAGCTGATTACAGTCTTTATCATGATGAGACTGGTCTGTTTACATTATGTTGAATATGCTAATCTGACTTCTTCAGAAAATGAGGTGAAAATATCTACAGCAACTTCTAACTCACTGCTGGCAACCAACTTTGAAGAATTGTAACTGAGAAGATTGAATCTTGAATGTTAAAAGATTAATTTAGAACTTCAAAAAGAGAGATGTAAAGAATTACAGCTTTAATTTTAATTGAAAAGACTTTATACTCAGAATGACAGAATCATGATGTCTGCAAATTTGCTGATGAGTCAACTGTCAGTATGAGATTTGAACTTGAGGTTCTAAATACAGTATAATCTCTATGATCTGAATAGCTATATTGGCAAAGTGATCAGTCAGTTCAAATAGAATACTAAAAATGTCATCAAGCTGAATGCTCTGATCAGATCTTCAAATTATCTCTCCTGATATGTGAATATGAAGGCCAAGCTAATTGATGCTCAATGCTGAGTTATATTAAAAGACAAGCAAGTCAAAAGCCCTAATAAGAATCTCAAATAAGCTTCTTTTAAGAGGTTAAAAATCACTGACTTTATACATTTATTTTGAACATATTGACAGCCAGCATTAGGTTCTGTTTTAATAAGTATAATAAGAGCAGGATTGCTTATTCTCTTTGATGTATGATTGAGAAGAAGTTCTTCATTCTGAGAACACAGCTTTGCAGAGAAGCAGTTTTAGTGTTTACATCAATGAGTGATGTTCAAGTCATCAACATACATATGTTTTTTGATAAGTTCAATAATATTATTATGAAATTGAAAATACTCAATATTTTATTATCAAATGATGTGGTGTTTCATATGTTCTATTCTGCACTTCTCAATATATAATGAAACTATATGCAAAAGAAAATTGAGAAAGTATAAGAGTTCAAATCAAAGTCTGTTATATTAAATGTTCATTTGATCATGAAAAAAATACACTCTCAATTGAACCTCTTCAAAGAAGAAGCTAAAAAGGCTACTCAGGTAGCTAATTCTTTGGCCAACATAACTCAGACTGAAAACACAACTATAAGTTTTAATAATAGTAGCAATATTCAAAATAATTTAGCTCATAAAGATCATTTTAAGAAATATAAAGACTATCAAATGAGCAGATATTTAAATTCTAATCTCTTAATTTATCTGAAATGCAAGTATTATCATAATAGGCTCTGCTAAGCAGTTAATTCAAATAGCATCTTCAAAGAATAAAGAATCATCAACACAGTGAGAATAGAGAAATATAATAATAAAAAGAGTAGTAAGGACAAAAGATCTCATCAACTGCAAATGACAGCTTTGAGACATTTCAAATGATGAATCTAGTGCAGGTCATTGAGATGTCTATATACTCTGTTAAATCAATTATCAACTCACTCATCATATAAGATAGTGAGGCCAGATGTCATATTGTGTATGATCAATTATGATTTTTCTGAATAACAGAGGTTAGTGGCTCTACAATTCAAGTAATTAATAAGACTACTTTGAAGGTTTAAGGAATTGAGATCATCTTCATTCTAGTCAGAGAAAGATTAATTGAATTTGATCATATCTATTTGATGCTACGCTTATCTGCCAATCTCATATTCACTAGTCTATTGAAATGCCAGAGCTATATTCACTGTGATGATCTGCAGATAAATGCTGAAAATTACTTTGAGATAATAGCATATATAGAAAATGACATCTTCTATGTAAATTTGAATTTCAATAATATATATATTCTATTCAATATTTTCTCTATGTTCAGAGGTATTATGAATGATCTAAAGCTTGAACCACTGGCATATTTGATAATCTCAAAGCTCAGAGTGATTTCAATGAATTATGATCTGAATACTATATCACTGAGTCTTTTCAACTATGATAACATAGAGCAGTTAATTAATCTAAAGAATTCAGATACTGATATCTTTATTTTATTCTCATCAATCTGACTACCTGTTATTATGCCAAAGCAGCTACTAATTGATAAGTGATACTGATGATTAAGTCATATTGACGAGAAGAATTTAATTAAAATATTGTGAAAGCTCTATTTTGAAATTATCATCATTGATCTGAAGAAGCTCTTATTCTGCATCACATGTGTTAAAGTCAAGCATAAATGTATAAGTTATAAAAGTACTCTGCTATGCTGTGCCACCTGCAAAGATCTTAATATCTGAGTGAATCTATTTGAAAGTGGAGAAATGCTTGATAATAAAGAAGATATACTATTTTATATATATAAAAAGCTTACAATAATGATCACTGACAATATCATGCAAATGCAATAGATCTTTCTATTGAAGTATTACAATAAGACTTTAAAATATATATAAATTTTCAATTAATTTATGAAGAATTTGTTCAATCACAGTGTCACAATTATTCACTCTGATCATGATGAGTTGAATTCAAATGCCACAGCTATCTATATGATGAGTGAGAGTATTAAATGAGAATTAACTTCACCTCACACTCTGCAGCAAGATGATATGTCTAAATATTTTATTGATCTGATTATTGAAAAAGCTCAAATATTATTAATAAATTTCTCCTCCCTCTATCAGATGTGGGGTAAGGTGGTAATTGTGATGACTAAAATGCTTAATCTTATATCAATATCAGTCAAGCTCTATAACAATATAGAGAATTCAGATCTGAAGTCAGTTATTTAATATAAAACTTGACTCAGAGCTCTGCCCTCTGCATACAGAATTCACTGATAGAAATATAAGGCTTATTTAAAAAAAGTACTCAAGCTGAATATGAAGATAGCCTCATAATTGCAGAAGTTTATATTTATAAATTATAATAACTTTACTAATTATAGATTAGTTAATCCTTCTAATGATTGCTTATATATATTGAAAGATATAATATTTCAAGAAGATCTTCATTTGATGAATTCTCTGACTCTGTCTAAGTGAGATATTAAGAATCTGCCTTTTACTGTCTGTGTAACTGCAGTTGTAATTTTCTTCACTCAACATGATTTATCAATAGATGATTTTATAATGAACAGAAAATTTTTATCTGTCTCTTCAATATTTCTACACTCTACAAATAATTGATAAATAGACTATGAGATTACTGCATAGATTTTAACATTTTTGATATGAAATACTACTGTTCTTTCAGAGTTTACTTTAGAGATAAAGAATTTTTCAATGTCTACTGAGAATATTACTTCAGTAAAAGAGGCCTCAGTGAGAGATTTCACTGATAATTCAACTGATATTCTTACAGACTCTGAGATTACTGACTTGCCAGTTCTGAAAAATCTCACTCAGACTTAGGCATCTGCAGATTGAAAATATTAATTTTATATCTGCATTAAGAAGATTAACTACCTTAAACAAATTGATACATAGTGATTAGTTGAAAGGATCTCAGATATAAGGATTCTATATAGCCAATAAGTATTCAATAAAAAAATTAATAATGTAAGTAGAATCAATTGATATAAGACTCACTGAGTAGTCTGTAGCAATTATCAAAAAAAAGAGTATCAACTATTTGAAGATATTTACATCAGTTATATTAGTCTTCATCTTTTGAGCACTTATGATGATCTCAGTATTCTAAGAATAATATATTCTGCAGATTAATATAATTACAGCATTTTTAAATACCTGACTTTCCGCCAATAAATGTATATATATGCATCAATCTACCAGGTTCTGCAAGAGATGTAATGATCTGATATGTGAATTGATGCAGAGACTATATGATCTGAAGCAAGCAGCACTATTATGATATGAGAAGCTGTAAAAAATGCTATTGAAAACAAACTTTTACATCAGTTCTTATAATATTAGTTTTTTTATAAATAATGTTTGCAAGATCTATATAATTATTTACATGGATGATATTCACTTATATAGTCTGAATATATCAAATATTAAATAGACAAAAGCTCAGATCACTATTAATTATAAGATCAAAGATATGAGCAATTCAAACTAGTATTTGAATATGAAAATTGATCAGGATGTCAAATCATTATCACTGTCCCAGTCACTGTTCATAAAGAATCTACTTGAGAAATTCTCAATGAATGACTGCCACTCAACATCCTCTCCTATAAAGGAGAATATTGATTTCATGAGTGATAATGAAG